CTACGCTCACTGGGGGTGTGTACAGACTCCGGAGGGGCTCCTTCAGCCCAAGCGTTATAATCTACACGGATAACTCACGTGCTGTAATAATAAAGTACGCTGCAGCGGGCAGCCCCGATCCACACTCATCCTCACAAATTAGGCCCTCAGCCTCACTCAGTCATAAATATGCTGCAGGCGGGCATCCCCGATCCACACTCATCCTCACAAATTAGGCCCTCGGCCTCACTCAGTCAAAACCTCTCAAGCCACTCGGGCATTTCAGTAAAATAGGGCATTCAACCCAAAATATTTATATGCATCAAAATAGAGTCATAAAATTGAGTTATACGGTAAACAAATATAAGCATGACTGAGTATAGATTTTCAATCGAAAACAATGAGAGGATGGTAAGAAACAGCCCCTAAGGGTCCAAACAGCTTTGGTGCAAGGTCCAAACATGGCATTCAGCCCAATTTACAAAAATTCTTTCTAAAACATATAAGTATCATATAATTTCCATAAAATATGCAACTTTACAGTTGCTACGGGACGGACCAAGTCACAAATCCCAAACAGTGCACGCCCACACGCCGGTCACCTAGCACGTGCGTCACTAAAAATAGTACAATGATATAAAATCTGGGGTTTCATACCCTCAGGACTAGATTTGCAATCGTTACTTACCTCAAACCAGTCAAATCTCTAACCCGCAATGGTCTTGCCTCTGGACTCGGCCTCCAAATGCTCCGAATCTATTCACAATCAGTACAATACCATCAATACGCGCTAATGGGATGAATTACACAAGAAAAACTACAAAATTAGACCAAAACTCAAAATTGGCTCAAACCCGGCCCCGGGTCCACGTCTCGAAATCCAACAAAATTTACAAAACTAGAAATCTCATTCACTCATGAGTCTAACCATACCAAATTCATCAAAACACGACATCGTTTGGTCCCTCAAATCCTTAAATTACTTTCCAAAAATTCCAAACCCTAACCCCTCATTTTCACTAATTACAATGATTGAACAACGCAAAATCATCATGTATACAAGTATTAGGGCTCAAGCAACTTACCTCACTGATATCCCTTGAATCACTCTTCAAACATCACTCCAAAAGCTCCAAAAACCGACTTGAAAATGGTGGAAATGAACCAAAATCGCTAAGGGTTCTATTTATGGTTTCTGCCCAGGTTTTTTGCACCTGTGAAAAATTGTACGCTTTTGCGCCACCGCACCTGTGGAACAATCCATCGCAGGTGCGGAACTCACTTAGGAGCCCAGCTTCCGTATCAGCGGTCCAAAACCCCGCGCCGGCGAAGACGCACCTGCGCGTCTACTCCGCTTCTGTGAAGCCTGCCCAGCATCCCCCTTTCCGCATCTGCGCCCCAGGTTTCGCACCTGCGGGCTCGCAGATGCGACCTCTAACTCGCACCTGCACATCCTGCCTAGCCCAGCATTGCCCGCACCTGCGCACTCCCTACGCGCACCAGCGGCCTTGCACCTGCGACTCTTTCTTCCACAGGTGCGAAAATAGCAGTAGTAGCAGCTTCAGCTACATTTTCCAACTTCGACAAATCCGTTAACTACCTCAGAATCACCTTGAGGCCCTCGGGACCTCAACCAAAAATACCAACAAGTCATATATCAACATACCAACTTAGTCGAACCTTCGAATCACTCAAAACAACATCAAATCATCAAATTACCCTCGGATTCAAGCCTAAGAACTTCTAAATTTCTAAATTCGGCAACCGATGCCAAAACCAACCAAACCACATCTGAATGACCTCAAAGTTTGCACACACGTCACAAATGACACTACGAACCTACTCCAACTTCCGGAATTTCATTCCGACCCCGATATCAAATTTTCCACTGCCGACCGAAATCTCCAAATTTTCAATTTCGCCAATTCAAGCCTAATTCTACCACGGACCTCCAAATCACATTCCGCATGCACTCCTAAGTCCAAAATCACCTAACGGAGCTAACGGAACTATCAGAATTCAAATCCGAGATTGTTTACATATAGATCCATATCCGGTTGACTTTTCCAACTTAAGTTTCTACTTAAGAGACTAAGTGTCTCAATTCACTCTGAAACCACTCCTGTCCCGAACCAACTAACCCGATATAACATAATATAGCTGAATAACACAAAAATAAGTTGAAATAGTGAAAACTGGGTTATAACTCTCGAAACAACCGGCTGGGTCGTTACATTTGACTAATGTCCAATAATATATTTTTTTAACATATTACAGCCTATCATGACAATATATGTGCATGTTTCTAATAATACTGAACCTACAGCTGATGTAGTTTCAAGTTCGCATCCAGGTAAGTTATTTCATTCGTTAAAATTTTAGCCCTTTAAAATCTCTTGCTTGTATAGGTTTAATTTGCTATATACCTAAATATTTTCCTATGTGGCTGAAGGAAAAAAGATAAAGGGAAGGGGGAAGACAACATGGTTTTCAGTTCAAAAGAAACAGAAAGACATTGACAATGAAAAGTTGAAGGTGATTATTCCACCGGATAGAACAGTAGCAGTAGGCCCTGGAGCTAAAGATTTTGTTACCGAGCTCTCAGTCAAAGTTCTCCTCCATGCTAGGCATGATGTCAAGAAATGGAAGGATGTCCCTAATCTAGCAAAAGATAGAATTGTTGCTCATATGCTGGTAATTCTCGATCACCTGTTAAATTCTAAAAAAATGGTCCCTTTCTTGATCAGCTTATCAAATTCTTATTTATAAACTTCCTTTTTGTAACGTCTCATTTGATTAATTCAACTCATACTTATTTGTTAAGGTAGCTAAGATAATATACAAGCAAATTCTGAATACAAGATTATTGTTGAACTTGAACAATTCACTAGAACAATGATGTAAGTATACAAATAAAGTATACTAATAATTTATCAGTGGTAAACCAGATTTAGATATGTTGACCTGAAAGGTCCTCAATACAAAAGCAGACAATGAAAGTTCTATTCTAAGTAAGCTCACTTAAGTTTTTTTTTTTTTTGAGTGCATGACACCTTTCAACTTCCAGACACACAACACAATCGAGATACTATCCTTGAAACAGCTAATAATTTATATCGATATCGTCGTAGTAGGCTCCACGATCATTTCAATAAATTTGCTACGAAGGAGGAAAGCTTGCATAACATGCCAGCAGAGGTTAATGAAGCTGAATGGAATTTCTTAGGGGACTTTTTCAGTTCTGATGCTTTTAAGGTAATTAGGAGTACATCAAAATTAAATGGATTTAACTTTATAATATTTCTTAGTTTCTTCTTATACTTTCTTACTTAAATTATAACATATTCATGCAGCAAATGAGTTGCACGAAATAAAACTAATAAGGAAAAATAAGAAATGAATCATATTTGTGGCAGAAAGTCCTTCCAAGCAGTATCTTATGATGCGGTAAGATGTCTTTGTTTTTACTAATTTTGATCATTTTTATTTAATAACATAATATAATTTGTTTTGCTAGAGAGATTCATGTCATGACCCAAAATTCCAACCTGTCGTGATGGCGCCTATCTCGATACTAGGCAAGACTATAATCTCAATAAACCAAAACTTCTCTTTAAGGTTGAAAATATAATATTTAAATACAATACAAACACTCCTTAAAACCTGGTGTCACTGAGTACATGAGCATCTAATATGAATACAAGTTTGAAAAATATAGTCTATAATAGTCTGAGACCAAATACAGTGAACAAAGAGATAGAGAAGGAGAGACAAGGTCTTTGAAATGCGACAGCTGCCTCAAAATCTCCGGAAAATCAACAGCGCAAAAGGATCAATACCCGCTATATCCGGAAATACCTGGATCTGCGCACAAAGTGCAGGGTGTAGTATGAGTACAACCAACTCAGCAAGTAACAATAATAAATAAGGAACTGAAGATAGTAACGAGCTACATAGTTGTGGTTCATTTCCAGTAATTCCAGCAAAGAATAGACATGCTATCAAATCTGGCAGTTTAATGTCAAATAAATTTTTATACAGTTCTCGTTCATGTAATCCGTATATCAACAATCTTTCAGAGATTTCACAACAATGATAGATAGCAACTAAGTGCAACAACAAATGAAAATCAAGTACAACTTATTAGGACAACAACCACTCACTAGGCTCCCAGCCCTCATCACTCACTCTCAATGGGTACCCGCGCTCACTGGGGGTGTACAGACTCCGGAGGGGCTCCTACAGCCCAAGCGCAATAATCTGCACGGACAACTTGCTGCACGGACAACTTACGTACCATAATATAAATATCTGGATCCGCACAGCCAACTCACGTGACGCACGGCCAACTCACGTGCTATAGTATAATATAAGGATCCGCATGGCCAACTCACGTGTTGCACGACCAACTCACGTGCTATAGTATAATATAAGGATCCGCATGGCCAACTCACGTGTTGCACGACCAACTCACGTGCTATAGTATAATATAAGGATCCACACGGCCAACTCACGTACTATAGTATAATATAAGGATCTGCACAGCCAACTCACGTGCTATAGTACAATATAAGGATCCGCACGGCCAACTCACGTGCTATAGTATACAATAAGGATCTTCACGGCCAACTCACGTGCTGCACGGACAACTCACATGCTATAGTATCAATATCTCACCATCAGGCCCTCGGCCTCACTCAGTCATAAATCTCTCCAGTCTCTCAGGCTCTCAATAATCATGAAATCAGCCCAAACAACAATGATATGATGTATCAATAATAATAACAGAGACTGAGATAAAATGTGCAAGCAAAAACTGAGACTGAGTACATATAGCATTTAGCAGGCAATTCAACAAGTACGTGACCTCTGTGGGTCCCAACAGTACTATCACATAGCCTAAGCATGATTTCTAACATGATTTACAGTCAAAATTTATCAACACATAGAGAGCATATAGCTAACAACAAATTATTCAACTTTACAGTTTTTCCGGGACGATCCAAGTCACAATCCCCTTGGTGCATGCCCACACGCCCGTCACCTAGCATATGTGTCACTTCCAAAATAATCGCATGATACCAAAACCCGGGGTTTCATACCCTCAGGACCAGATTTAAAACTGTTACTTACCTCAAGCCATGAAATTCTTTACTCTGCTATGCCCTTGTCTCGTCAATTGGTCTCCAAACGCCTCGAATCTAGCCATAAATAATTCGTTTCAGTCAATAAAATTCATTGGAATTAATTCCATAAGAAAATAATAATTTTCCATAAAAAATCCGAAAATTAGCTCAAAAATCGCCCGTAGGGACCACGCCTCGGAACTCGACAAAAGTTACAAAATCCGGAAGCCCATGCAACCACGAGTCTAACCATACCAACTTTACTAAAATCCGACCCCAACTCGACTCTCAAATCTTCAATTTAAATCAAGAGAGTTTTCAAACTTTTCCAACTCAATTCACCAATTAAATGATAAAAATAACCATGGATTCAGGTAATTTAACCAACAATGAGTTAAAAATACTTACCCCATTGTTTCGTTTTAAAATCACCCAAATATCGCCTCAATCCGAGCTCCAAATCGTTAAAAATGGAAAATGGGACGAAGTCCCATTCTGAACTTAAACTTTCTAAACTGACCTCTCTTCTTCGCGAATGCGTGTAACGACCCGACAGGTCGTTTTGAACATTTGCACTTCGTTCGGTTGTTTGAGAGTATGAGTAGCTCCGTATGATGTACTTTGACTTGTGTGAATCATCGCTTTTGGGTTGCAGGTATTTCGGAATCGAATTGGAAGAAAGAATTTCATTGTTGAAGCTTTGAATTGGGAGAGTTGACCAAAATTTGACACTTTATCATTTGACCTTGGATTGGAATTCTGATGGTTACATTAGCTTCGTTAGGTGATTTTGGACTTAGGAGCGCGACTGGAATGTAATTTGGAGGCTCGTGGTAGAATTAGGCTTGAATTGGCGAAAGTTAGAAATTTGGCGATTTCGGTCGGCAGTGAAAAATTTGATATCGGGGTCGCAATGTAATTCTGGAAGTTGGAGTAGGTTCGTATTGTCATTTTTGAGGTGAGTGCAAAATTTGAGGTCATTCGGACGTGGTTTCGTTGGTTTCGGCATTGATTGCCGAATTTGGAAATTTAGAAGTTCTTAGGCTTGGATCCGAGGGTAATTTTATGATTTGATGTTGTTTTGAGTGATTCGAAGGTTCGATTAAGTTGGTATGTTGATATATGACTTTTTGGTATTTTTGGTTGAGGTCCCGAGGGTCTCGGGGTGATTCCGGGTGGTTAGCGGATTTGTCAAAGTTGGAAAATGCAGCTGAAGCTGCTGCTACAGCTATTTCCGCACCTGCAGAAGGAGGAGTCGCAAGTGCGAGGTCGCTGGTGTGTTTGGGGAAGCCGCATATGCGGAAATGGAAAGCCAAGGCTGGGAACGTAGGTGCGAAGAATTGGTCGCATCTGCGAGCCCGTAGGTGCCTTGAGCGCAAATGCGGAAAGGAAGAGTTGGGATGGTTCCCCAGAAGCGGAAGTGTTACGCAGGTGCGCGCCCGCAGGTGAGGAACCTAGGGTCGCAGGTGTGGAATTTAGGGCTTAAGTGGTTCTCGCAGGTGCGAGGATTCGACCGTAGGTGCGGTTCCGCAGGAGCGGACATACGGCCGCAGGTGCGACTGTGCTAGGCAGAAAAGCCCTATCTCATGTGTTTTGTCTTCATTTTCTGTTTTTGGATTTGAGAAACTGGGGAGAGAGGCGATTTTTCGAAGGTTTTCAAGGAGCAACATTGGGGTAAGTGATTCTAACCCCATAATGGTATAAATTTCGTGAATCTATGGCCTTGCTCATCGTTAATTAGTAGGATTTTGGAGTGAAAGTAGGGGTTAGGGCTTAGAATTCTTAAGAGTTTAATTTAAGGATTTGAGGGACCAAACGATGTCGGATTTTGATGAATTTGGTATGGTTAGACTCGTGAGTGAATGAGATTTCTAGTTTTGTAAATTTTGTCGGATTTCGAGACGTGGGCCTGGGGGCCGGGTTTGAGCCAATTTCGGGTTTTGGTCTAATTTGGTAGTTTTTCTTGTGGAATTCATTCCATTTGCGTATATTGATGGTATTGTACTGATTGTAAATAGATTTGGAGAATTTGGAGGCCGAGTCCAGAGGCAAGATCATTGCGGGGTAGAGATTTGACCGGTTTGAGGTAAGTAACAATTGTAAATCTAGTCCTGAGGGTACGAAATCCCAGATTTTGTATCATTCTACTATTTTTAGTGACGCACATGCTAGGTGACGGGCGTGTGGGAGTGCACTGTTGGGGATTGTGACTTTGTCCGTCCCGTAGCATCTGTAAAGTTGCATACTTTATTGAAACCATATGATACATATATATTTTAGAAAGAGTTTCTGTAAATTGGGCTGATTGCCATGTTTGGGCCTTGTGCCAGTATTGTTTGGACCCTTAGGGGCCTTTTCTTACTATCCTCTCACTGCTTTCGATTGAAAATCTATACTCAGTCATGTTTATACTTGTTTACCGCATAACTCAGTTTTATGACTCTATTTTTATGCATATAAATATTTTGGGCCGAATGCCATATTTTACTGAAATGCCTGAGTGGCTTGAGAGGTATATGACTGAGTGCTGCCGAGGGCCTGATTGTGAGGATGAGTGTGGATCGGGGCTGCCCGCCTGCAACATACATTATTATTATAGCACATGAGTTGTTCGTGCAGCACATGAGTTGTCCGTGCAGATTATAGCACTTGGGCTGAAGGAGCCCCTCAGGAGTCTGTACACACCCCCAGTGAGCACATGTACCTAGTGAGTGCGAGTGCCGAGTGCTGAGTGACATGGAGGCACGAGTGATTGTGAGGTATGCCCGAGTGGCACAAGTGACAGTGAGGTTTGCCCGAGGGGCTGTATATGAGTGATGTTTTACCCGAGGGGCTGTTTATGATTTTATCATTTTGCTCACCTTTGCATTTTTCTTCTGTCTGAAAACTGTTGAAAAATATCTTTAAATAATTTTTACTGGAACTGGGTTAAACAAGATGTTTTGATTCAAATCCTGATTTTAAAAGCATGTGATATTTTGCTGAGATTTCCCGATATGAATGTTATATGCTTTATTACTCATCACTACTGCTCAGTCTTTATTTATTGTTGTTACTGACTGAGTTGGCGTACTCACGTTACTCCTTGCACGTTGTGTGCATATTCAGGTGTAGCTGGACATGGTAGCGGTTATTGAGTGTTCTGGTTGCAGATTTTCTTGGAGATAGCAAGGTAGCTTTTTGGCGATCGCAGCCCCTGCTCTTCTCCCTCTTATCTTCCTCTAGTTTTATTTAGCTATTTTCCAGGCTGAGTTAGCCTTGATATTGTTAGACAAATTGTAGTAGATGTTCATGACTAGTGACACCCTGATATCGGGCTTTTCCTTCCGCGCTTTTATTTTGATTTGAACTCCTTTACGAAGGTTTTTATGTTTAATAACATTGAAATTATATTTGAAATGAAAATATCATTTTGTTTTGGAAATGAGTCGGCTTGCCTAGTTCCACAATAGGCGCCATCACGGCATGGGTTAGTTTGGGTCGTGACAGATTGGTATCAGAACCTAGGTTACATAGGTCTCATGAGTCATGAGCGGATTTAGTAGAGTCTTGCGGATCGGTACAGAGACGTCTGTACTTATCTTCGAGAGGTTGTAGAACCCTTACGAAAATTTCACTTTCTTATATTCTATTATGCGAAATTGATTCAGCTTGAAACATAACTCTTTAAATTCCTTCCACGCATTCGTATGCGCACATGAGTGTTCGGTATCAGTTGCGCATCACCGGCTTGTGATTCTATGAACGAGGTTCGAGATGTGTATTATGTGTTTTGGGGATGGACTAGTCTGGAGGACTTGAGGCCATGTTTAAACTGTAGTTTTGGCTCGGTAGCTTCAGTTGTAACCTGTACATTTGGACTCATATGTCCGATAATGCCCCTACGAGTGGAATTCGTGGCTCAATGAACGGTGGAATGGTTTTGTGATGAGTATGATGTAACTGCGGGATGTGTTAAGACGATTTGAATGTGACGAGAAGTGTTTCCTTGAAATGTAAAGGAAGGCCATTGGGTGCTTGATTTTCGTTTTGATGTGATGTACGGTCTCGAGTGTGAATGTTTTGAAGGATCTTTCACGTTGTTAAATTTTGAGGCAAATTAAATTCTCATATCTTGTCAAAGAGTTTGGACTCAAGAAGAGTAAGTGATTGTGTAGTAATTGTGGTTGTGAATGGGTATTTTTGATGTTCATCGCTCGAGAAAGATGATCTTCAAAGAGACTTAGCGTCGGTAACATTTTATTGGTTCAGGTGCGACAGAGATACATTTCGATTTGATGCAGCAGTTGGGTAGCAAAGTATGAGGGAAGACATGGCGGGAAGTGTTTCGCGGTGGTTGAA